TTTTTAATTTGGACCATTTCTCGATTTATGCGTGTCATCCTTGCGCAGGGGCCATGCTAATCTTCTCTGTATCGTTCCAATTTTAATGGATGTCCCGAAGGACGGCAATCATAGTTTTTACTATTTTTCAGTCATCCAAATCTCAGCTGAGAGCTGGAATTGACTTTGTTTGCCATGTTTTCTCTCTTTTTTTTTTTTCCCCCCCTTTCAAAGCCTTTTAGCCATGCTCCCATGTCTTTGTAGGGAGCAGCAGCCGATGGTAACCGGGTCCAGCATCCCACATCATTGGACTCTAACTAAGGTCTGGTATGGTTTGTTGCGTATCTGGACGGATGCCTGTGCAGGTTAGGGACTACATCCATGTGATGGATCTTGGATCAGGACACATCTCCGCAGTCAGGAAGCTTGAAGAGTATACTGGTACGGTGATTCACTTCACTGTTGGACCAATTCTTTTTCATCCTTACCTCTGAAGTTAACGAAATTTCGAATGAAATTCTGGCGATCTTTTCATGAAAAGGGAAAAGGGAAAAAGAATCGTCCCAGGGACCGTTATAGACAGCTATCGCTGCTGTGTTACAGAGACCGTACCATGTGCTCGAAATGGTAGGTGCTCAAGATAGGGCATACGTCTATGCTATGCCCTATCTTGAGCACCTACAGTGTTGAGCACATGCTATGGTCTCTGTATTACAACAGCAATAGCTGTCTATAAAATGTTCTCTGTGATATGGCAGCGATAGCTGTCTATAAACGGCCAATCTTGAGCACCTACAATTTTGAGCACATGCTATCTTGAGCACCTACAATTTTGAGGACATGATATCTTGAGCACCTACAATTTTGAGCACATGCTATGGTCTCTGTAACACAGCAGCAATAGCTGTCTACAAAATGGTCTCTGTGACACAGCAGCGATAGCTGTCTATAAACACCCTACCTTGTTGAGCACCTACAATTCTGAGCCCATGGTATGGACAGCCGTCTATAAGGTCCCTAGGCAGGCATTTTAGGCATTTTGACTCGGTCAAAGCCACCAACCTAACAGTTAGAACTGCCCTTGATGTTGACTTGTGTATGTTCAATAGGTTGACCTTATGACTTTCTGGCATCTACCCGAACCTTTGGTACGGCTTTTCTATATTGAAGTGAAAACTGGCGGACGGGGCGGATGGGTATGTTGTGGTTATCTCTGGATCCTATAAGGATAAAGAAGTCAATTCGTGTCTGGGGGCCCAACGTTCGCAGCGACGTGTTATCGTCACTTGCTACTTTTGGCAAACCCTAAATCCCCAGCGATCTCTTCAGGGGCTATGATCGTCGCAAGGATCCGTTGAGTAGTTTTGTGTGCATTTTTGGAACTCTGCCCACGGTTCGAAATTCATTCCAACTCTGCTTGACCAATTCCAAAGCTGTTTTTTTGGGCTCTTCGACGGAGGTGTCAAGCCGACCGTCGTCGCTGCCCCTCGATCGGTCGTGGACCCGTCCTCCTGTTGGCGTGTACCGGGCAGCGTCTCGTTGGTCCCCCTCAAAAATTGTGCGGAACTTGGGGTGGGGTGGCACAACCGGCAGAAGTCCTGCTGGGCCCAGTCGCGTGCTGATCGGCCCTCATCGACCAACTTTCTGAAGTTTTTTCCAACGCCAGGATTTGGCACTTGGCAAAGCCGCAATACAACAAAAAGCCTACGGTCTTCTTCTACTTCCAATTTGAGGATTCATAATATCATATTTACGTGTTGGTTTCTTCGGATTCCTCTACTCAAATGTCTGTCTTATCACTCTTATCAGACTTGTGTGTCTCATCACTCATGGTCAGTATGCGCTTGTGGCCAGTATGTTGTGCAACACCAAGCAACTCTTGTGGTCAGTATGCGCTTGTCGCCAGTACGTTGTGTGGAATGCTTGTGTTCATCTGTGTCAGACTGTGGCTTCCCCCCCCCCCCCCCCCCCCCGTCCCCCCCCCTCTTCTTTTTTTCTCTTCGAAAGCTATTGGGCTAAGCTGGACTGCCTGCGGCACCCCTGTCGCACACTTCCGACTCACCAGCGGAGATAGATGGCTTGCCCCCCTGGCTTTTGGTGGTAGGTTGCCCGTGACCTTCCATCCCCCCGTGCCAGGGGTTAGGGGCCGGGGTACTCCTCACCACACACAGAGCAGTGTTGAGGCAAAGCAAAACTGGAATAGAGGTAGGTAGATAGTGGGAGATATAATCAGAGAAGAATATAGGGTAGTTCTTTTTATTCAAGATTAAAAAAAAATGTTATTGGGCTAAGTAAGCCTGCACTGTTTTGAAGTTGTCTAGGAGAACTTGTATGTGGACCTGTCTGCAAATATCTGAGCTGTTCATAGACATGTTCGCCAGACAGGTGAGACAAGTAGCTGGAAGCATGCTAAAACTCCTCCCCTAATCCCTTGAAGTAAGTCCCAACCTCCCGGCCCCCCCTTCCCCGCCCCCTCCACCACCCCAACCCTGAAGCCCAACCCCAGACAAGTAATTTGAACCATGCTAAAACTCCTCCCTTGATCCCTTGAAGTAAGCCACAACTCCCAGCGCCCACCTCGCCCCGTCCACCACCCCAACCGCCAAACCCCAAATTCCAAGCTCTGCCCCATCCCCNAGGTAACGGAGTTGAACCCGCAACCTCATACCACAATGCGCATTTCTAGTCGGTGTCCTAACCACTTGGACTCTTCCGTTTCAGGATGCAATGATGTATGAACCCCCCCCCAAAAAAAAGACACTAACAACAGGAATGAAAAGTTTTATAGCGGATTCAGGTTCTTTCTTGTCAAGTGAAGGATAGCCTCTTACCTTCTTAACCCGAAAAAAACGTACGTACCTTGTATACGAATACAACGTACGGGGTACGTTGTATTCGAATACAACATACATAACTTATAGAACGAGTTTTAGGGTACAACTTTTCAGAAGCCTGTAGTACATCCCTTGTTTTTATTTTTATCTCAAATTTGGTTGGGAATTTCGCCAAGACCCTCCGGCAAAAGTTGTTTGCATTGCAATTTTGTACAACATTTTTTTCGGATTTTCTAATAAAGTTCTTTGAAAATCGAAATTCTGGAAAAAAGTTAAAAAAACAGTAAAACATATTTTCATCCTCGTTTTTATTTTTTTTCTCTAATTTGCTTGTGAATTTACACAAGACCCTCAGGCAAAAGTTGTTTGTACTACATTGTTGTGTAACATTTTTTTTGTACGGATTTTTTTGATTATTTTTGAAAAAAATCAAATTTGCGAAATTTGAATACAACGTACGTACGTTGTATTCGAATACAACGTACGTGCGTTATATTCGAACGTACGTTCTATTCGGGGAAAAGCAAGCGATTTCTCAAAACCCGATTTCCAGAGGTAATTCGAACGTACCTTTTTTTCGGGTTAAGAAGGTAGTCTGATTTGCAAAAATGTTGAAAAGCCCAACGAATCGCCCTCTGTCGCCGGGTTGGGAGGTGTACAACCCTGCTCCTTGACCTATTCTCCAGTCAATGTCCATGCATGGATTACTGAGACACAGGTTCATGCTTTTGTCCCGTCGTTCTGCCGATGGGTCGACAGACCGCCAACCGGTCGGCGTTGGCAGTCAGTGGGTATGCATCCCTGCTCCTTGCTCTATTCTCCAGTCGATCTCCATGCATGGATATATTGAGACGTAGGTTCATTCTTTTGTCCTGTTGGTCCCCATTCACGGATTACTGAGAAATAGGTTCACGCCTTTGTGATCCATGCGAGCAAAAGCATTTCCTTTTCCTGTCCTTGGGGACATCCCTTGAAATTGGAACAGTACACAGAAGATTAGCGTGGCCCCTGCACAAGGATGACGTGCCTAAATCGAGAAATGGTCCAAAAAAATAAATAAAAAAATGCTTCGGACTTCCTTTTCCTTTACATGCCCCTCTTAGTCCTCCCTGATGAAGATCCCACAGTAGAGCCTACGGCCCAAAAGGGGCCTAATCCGGTGTTTGCTGGAGGTTTTCTGAACCCAGGCTTTTGAAAAACCAGCTCTGGTCTGATGGAAGTCTGTCAGAGTTCTGTGTATCTTCTTGCAATGTCGGATGTTCCCCACTACCGTCTTCACCCAAATAGAACGCCCGGTCATTATAGCCGTATTTGGGGCAACTTTCAATCCAGATGCAGCCATAATGACCGGGCGTTCTATTCGGGTCTTGTCTGCTTATTTGCATCTTCGGGCTTCATTGTAATTGTTCTTTCTTTGTCAATTTCATGTCTGCAGGTTGTGGAGCATATAATCTGGGAACGGGGAAAGGAACGTCAGTTTTGGAATTGGTGAAGGCAATGGAACGGGCGTCTGGGAAGGTGGGTTGCCTCACAAATTATTATCCCCTTCACACTTTCCTTTCATGTTAAAGTTTGTCAGTCCTTCGGGACATCCGTTAAAATTGGAACGATACAGAGAAGATTAGCATGGCCCTGCGCAAGGATGACACGTTTAAATCGAGAAATGGTCCAATTTTTTTTTTTAATGAAAAAAATAAAAATAAAAATGTTAAAGTTTGTCAGTAACTGCATGGCAGTCTGCACCCGTTCATAGGTGGTTGTAATAAGTTGTTGTCATCGTTGGATCGAAGTGTTCGATGTTTGGGATAATGCTTTGAGCGGATGCTCACGCTACAAGTCGGGACGGATACATGCATCCGACTGCAAGCCTTGAAAGGTTCATTCGAATACGTCCTGTCCAGTATATGTTAGCATTGTTGTTGGGGCGAGTAGACGTGTTCGTTTTGATCTGCAGAATGGGTGTGTGGGAAAATTTTCCTGGTCAGACCAGACAGATGCAAGGAACCTTTCAGCAGATCACAACGAACACGTTTACTCGCATTTGTGGGTTGCCTTTTACCGATTCCATTTGCAATGAACAATGCATGCAAGGTCATAAATGAAGAGAGTGGAACGGACGGAAGTGGAAGGGGTGCGTGGACAGTATAGACTCATCCGGTTTTCAAGTGGGTGACTGAGGGTCTGCACTCCCACTTCACTGATTAATGGGGTTATGTGGGTAATCATGTTACGATGCAGCTATCAAGTAATGGTCTTAGGTGTGAGCACACCAGCACTGTGGACTCTGTTTAGAGACTGGCAGAGTTTGCAGAGATGCTGATATTTTTGTTCTCCAAATATGTGTGCGCGCTTCGCAGAGAATACCATTGGTGTACAAAGACAGGAGACCCGGTGATTGTGCGTCTATTTATGCCAGCACAGAGAAGGCGAATATGGAGCTTCGATGGCGGTGAGTACCCACAGAATTTTGCAATCTCCCATTTTAGCCAGTAATTGGCGTACAAGTTTCTAGTCACCTTCTACGTGTCGCCCACTCTCTCTCTCTCTCTCTCTCTCTCTCTCTCTCTCTCTCTCTCTCTCTCTCTCTCTCTCTCTCTCTCTCTCTCTCT